TAAACCTAATTTAATTATGACCTATTACTTTTTTATATTTTGTTGACTTTGGTTGGCTTATATTTTATTTAAGATCTGGGGGATCTGTAAGTGAAAAAGCCATTCTCTTATTTCTTCCTTTTTTATTAGGGTTTGGAATTAATCTAATACTAGTCTAATAGAACGAGCTGGGTAGCTTTTTCTTTTTCTCTACTTTCTGAAGCAAATTGTTCCAGATGTTTTTTGAGCTCTCATCTGTAAAACCAACTGCCTGAGGCCATGTTTCCCCCTTGTGATAGGGGTATGTATCCCTTTTTTGTTGTTATTAATCATTTCAGTTTCTTTTCTTTTTTTTTTTTTATTTTTTTTCAACGTTTTTTATTTATTTTTGGGACAGAGAGAGACAGAGCATGAACAGGGGAGGGGCAGAGAGAGAGGGAGACAGAGAATCGGAAACAGGCTCCAGGCTCCGAGCCATCAGCCCAGAGCCTGATGCGGGGCTCGAACTCACGGACCGCGAGATCGTGACCTGGCTGAAGTCGGACGCTTAACCGACTGCGCCACCCAGGCGCCCCTCTTTCTTTTTCTTTTCTTTTCTTTTTTTTTTTAATGTTTATTCAGTTTTGAGAAACAGAGAGCAAGCAGGGGTGGGGCAGAGAGAGAGAGGGAGACACACAATCCGAAGCAGGCCCCAGGCTCTGAGCTTTCAGCACAGAGCCTGACACGGGGCTCGAACTCATAAGCTGTGAGATCATGACCTGAGCCGAAGACACCTAACTGACTGAGCCACCCAGGCACCCCAGTCATTTCAATTTCTTTATTGGTTGCCAATTTGTTCAAATTTCCTAATTTTTCTTGGGTCAGTTTTATATTTTATACTTTTTCTATACATTTTAAATATTTTAATGTTTTAAATATATTTTAATCTTTGCTTTTATTTTACTAGCGAATAGCTATCCGTAATGCTCTTTTATATGATTATTTTGATCTCTTTGGTGTCTATAAGTATTTTCCCTTTTTTGATTCTGAATTTTGTATATCTGCATCTTTTTTCACGTTTATCAGTTCTTGATGGAGGTTAGTACATCTTAGCAATCTTTCCAAAAGTCCAGATTCTGGCTTGGTTTTTACTTACTTTGTAGTTGCTGCTGCTTTGGTCCAGTTGTTTATCGAATGCTGCCCTTACTTTTTCTCTTTCTTCTTCTTCTTTTTTTTAATATTTGTTCTATTGTTCATTCCCTAAATTCTTGAGTTAAAACCTTAGCTCCTCAGGGGCGCCTGGGTGGCGCAGTCGGTTAAGCGTCCGACTTCAGCCAGGTCACGATCTCGCGGTCTCGCGGTCCGTGAGTTCGAGCCCCGCGTCGGGCTCTGGGCTGATGGCTCAGAGCCTGGAGCCTGTTTCCGATTCTGTGTCTCCCTCTCTCTCTGCCCCTCCCCCGTTCATGCTCTCTCTCTGTCCCAAAAATAAATAAACGTTGAAAAAAAAAATTAAAAAAAAAAAACAACCTTAGCTCCTTAGAGCGCTGGGTGTCATATGTAAGTGATTAATAACTAAATTTTACTCCTGAAACCAATACTACACCATATGTTAATTAATCTTGGAAGGAAAAAAGCCTACAACCTTAGCTCATTTTTAATTGTTATCTTTTTCTGATAAATACGTTCAGAGCCATAAATTTTATTCTTCAGGCTGTTTTAGCTGTCTCTTAAATTCTGTCATGTACTTTTCCCATTATCATTCATTTCCAAGTATTTTATAATTTCCTCTATATTTTCTTATTAACCCAAGGGTTATTGAGTATCATGCCATTTACTCTCCAGATGTAAAGGCCTTAAAGGTATTAAAGTGATAGCTTATCACTTTAATCCATTGTGCTCAGATAATAATGTGTATAATGTTGATTTTTGGTACCTGTGTTGAGTCTCTCTTTCTGATCTACTAAATGGTAAATTGTTTAAATGTTCAGTGTGTGCTCAAAAAAAAAATGTGTTTTTCCCACTTGTTAGTCAGTTTTTTTAAGTTATTCTCCCTTCCCATATAATTATTATTTCAAGTGTGTGAATCATGTCATTTGAATATCCTCTGTCATCCCTTATTATTTGTCTGCTCATTTTCTTAGTTTCTTAGATGGTTGTACAAAAGTTTCTAATACAGGGGTGCCTGGGTGACTCAGTAGGTTGGGCACCTGACTTTGACTCAGGTCATGATCTCACAGTTTGTGAGTTCGAGCTGTGCACTGGGCTGGACACTGTCAGCATGGAGCCTGCTTGGGATCCTCTGTAGCTCTCTCTGCCCCTCCCCCACTGACGATCTCTGTCTTTCTCAAAAATAAATAAACATTTTTAAAAGTTTCTGAAATAATTTCTATGTTTCTGTAGTTACGCTATTGCGTCTTACATCTTGAAGCTATTCTTTAAAGGCATGTATGTTCAAAATTGTTACAGCTTTCTGATTTTGTTTTCCTTAAAAAACATCCCTCTATGATTTATTTTTGCTTTGAATTCAGTTTTATTTGACACTCAATTCACTCTCCTGCTTTATTTGGCTCAAAATTACTGCATATCCCCTTTCCATCCTTTTATTTGTAGCTTTCCTGTCACCTTGTGTTTTATGAATATTCCTTTGAGAAAACATTGCCGATTATTATTTTTCAAAAGAGAAAAACCTTCCAGTCTGTGAATCTCTGTCTTCTGATTGGCGAGTTTCATCCATTACAAATTGTATTCGTTTCCTAGGGTTGCCATTTACAAAGTACCACAAACTGGGTTCTTAAAACAACAGAAACCCGGGTGCGAGGGTGGCTCAGTCAGTTAAGCCTCGACTCTTGGTTTTGGCTCAGGTCATGATCTCCTGGTTTCCTGAGGTCAAGTCCCGCACCGGGCTCTGCTCTGAGGCTGTGGAGACTGCTTGGGATTCTCTGTCTCCCTCTCTCTCTCTGTCCCTCCCCAACTCACACTCTCACTGTCTCTCTCAAAATAAATAAATAAACTTAAAAAAAAACAACCACTTTATAAAAAGAAATGTACTGTTTTGTGGTTCTGGTGGCCAGAGGCCTGGAATCAAGGTGTCAGGAGAGCCATGCTCCCTCTGAAAACTGCAGGAGAATCCTTTTCCATCTCTTCCTAGGCATTTCTTGGCTTGCTGCTGGATAATTCCAATCTCTGCCTTTGTTGTCACATGGCCTTCTCCCTGCGTCTCTGTCTTCTTGTGGCCATCTTTTTCTTAGGACACCAGTTATATTGAGTTAGGGTCCCACCCTGCTCCAGTATGACCTCATCTTAATTTGGCTGATTACGTCTGAGACAACCCTATTTCCAAATAAGGTTACATTCTGAGGTACTGGGGTTTAAAAGTCCAATGTGTCTTTTTTGTGGGGACACAATTCAATCCAGAACACAAATTATGTAGTTGATTTTATATTAGTGTTTATTTCACTCCTCTTATTTCTAATTTATACTTACTGTATTTTACTTTTCTTTGCTTTTTTTCCCTTTCATGTCTTTCCTCAGATACAGTTTTCTTCTGCCTGTTCGAAAACCTTGACTTCTATTTTTACTCATTTTGATGGTTATATTAAGCTTATTAAAAATCATATATGTGTTTATTTTTTCTCATAGGTTCTCTATCAGTGTTTATATGTTTCTCTATAACAAAATAAGTATATGCTCACTTTGCACTTGGCTCCCTTTGCAAAGAACTATTTTTCATCCACTGCTCATTTGTTGTGTTAGTGTTGCCCAGAGTTTATTTCCGGGTGGTTATGAATACTTTTGATATTCTCTCTTTCTCCCTCAGTCTCACTCTTTTTCTCTCTCCATCTCTTTATTTTTAGCTCTAGCTCTCCTTCTCCCTCTACTTTTTAATACAGCATTAACTTTTTTAAGTTATTTATTGATTCTCATTTCATTTTTATCTCATAGTAGTGTTATGGATTCATTTCTTTTCCAATTAGAACACATTTGCTAAGAGAGAATTTTGTTTGAAAGAGACTTTCATGTATTAGCTTCTTTGGGCCTTTTATGCCCGAGATTATTTTTATGGCATATTTAAATCTTTGTTTTTGTTCAAGGTAGATCCTTGGTTTGAAGTTCATTAACACTTTGAAAAGAATACATGTCTGTCTTTTGGCCTGTGTTTTAACTATTGAACAGAAATTGGATGTCTATCAGATTCTCATTCCTTCATGAAGGACCATCTCCTTTTCTTTGGCAGCCTTTAGAGTTTTGCCTTTGTCTCCATGTTTTTAAATGTTCTTGTAATGTGTCTAGGCATGAGTTTTCTCATGTCTTTCTGATTAGACACCCCATGAGCCCATGTAGCTTTTCATCTTTTTTTTTAATCTTGGAAAATGCTTAGCTATTTTTTTCTTTGACACATTCCTTTTTAAAATTTCTTTCTTTCTTTTCTTCAAGACTTCCTAGTATACAGGTGATAACACCTACATTTTATTAGCTTATTTTTCTATTTATTAGCTTCTAATTCTATATATTTCTTTTTTTTAATTATTTTTAATGTTTATTCTTGACAGAGAGAGAACCAGAGCATGAGTAGGGGAGAGGCAGAGAGAGAGAGGGAGACACAGAATCCGAAGCAGGCTCCAGGCTCCAAGCTGTCAGCACAGAGCCCAACGCAGGGCTTGAACCCATGGACCGCGAGATCATGACCTGAGCCGAAGTCGGCTTAACCGAATCAGCCACCCAGGCGCCCCTCTGTTATATCTTTTTTATTCCCGGTGTCATTCTGGAGAAGACATCAACCTGATCACCTTGCTCACTTGTCTATGTTCCAGTGGAATCCATTTTTATTATTTACATCATCTATTGAATGCTTTGTTTCAATGATTAAATTTTTTGTATCTGGTGTTTCTATTTGATTCTTTTTAATAACTGCTTTGTTTTGCTTCATCTTACCATTGCCTTCTCTTATTTATTATACCTATTTTGCATTATTGATCAGTTTGTGCCATTGGTTCTAATTTATCCTGTGTTGATTGTGCAGTTTGTTGTCTTTCTTTTTACAGTGATGCTTCTCAGGTGGCTGGTGGATTTTGCCCGTGAGTTCATTTTCCCCTGGGATGTCAGAATCTTGGCTTGAACTGTGACAGGGGAGGAGACCTAGACCCACACCTCACTGTGAGCTGCTCCATTCTGAGTGAAGAAGGGAGCCGGACAACGAGAGGCGCACACAGCCTGGGCTTGCTCTCCCCACATTTGCCTCTAGACATAGCAATCCTGCCTGAGTTTCTAGCTGGCCTGTCCTATGGTTTTGGGACTTGAGACTACAACATCACCTCTTAGCTGAATTTCCACCCTGCCAGCTTTTGGCTGCTCCACAGAGTTTGGACTCACCCGCCCCCATAATTGCTTGAGCCAATTTACAAAAAATAAATCAATCTCTCTCTCTCTCTCTTTCTCCATTTCATTGTATAAAATATAATGTTATACATGTATATATTTGGTTCTGTTTCCCTGGAGAACCCTGACTGATACTGTGATCTTATTTGGAAATAGAGTTTTGCAGATGTAACCAAGTTAAGACAAAGTCATTAATGTGCGCCCTAATCCAATATGCTTGGTGTCCTTATAAAAAGAGGAAACTGCCACAGCCTGTGAAGACAGAGACACACAGGGAGATGTCACACACAGTGACGGTGGAAGCAGAGAGTAGAGATATGGGGCTGCCGGCCAAGGACACCAAGGTGGCCATTCACCAACATAAGCTGGAAGAGGCAAGGAAGGATTCCACCCAGAGTCTCAGAGGGAGCTTGGCCTTGCTGACACCTTCATTTCGGACTTCCGTCTTCCAGAACTGTGAGAGAATGCATACTGGTTCTTTTAAGCCACCCAGTTTGTGGTACTCATCCCAGCGTCCTAAGGAAATGACCACCTCCACACATAAACATTCATTCCAGAGGAATTAAACAGATAACCCATACACTTATTTTAACGACAGAGACTAATATCTAAAATGTAGATTACTGTCTAGATGCAGGCTAACTGGCTCACTTGGCAGATATCATCACTGTCTCTGTGTTGCATGGAGCCAGCCAGAGTCAGAGTCAAGATGTAAACCCATGAAGTCAACAGGAGAAAGAAAATGTTGGCAAAGGGAGGGGCTCTTCTCTGAAAGATACAAACCCAAGAGCCAAAAGCAAGAGAGGTCTGTTGCTTAACTACATGAAGACTCAACAGTTCAGTATGTCCAAGGCATCATAAACAAAGTTAGGACAAAGGACAGGTAAAAAGTACTTTCAGTATGTTTAATAGACAAAGCTGCTCTTTGTTTTGTTAACGAGGTGACTTTTGAAAGGCACCCAAAGCGGGGTATGGGGGTGTATGGGGGTGGTGAGAGGGGGTAGGAGATGGAGGGGCTTGCTGCCAGGAGAACCAACAATGTGATTAGAGGGAAGGAACTTTAAGTTCCACCTCCTGACCTCCGGGAGCGGAGGGAGGGGGGAGCAGCTGGAGGTTGACTCAGTTGCCAATGGCCAAAGATTTAACCAATTTTGCCTGTGTAATAAAGCCTCCATTGAAAACCTGAAAGGACAGGGTTCAGAGAGCTTCTGGATGGTGAAAAGGCAGAGATTCAGGGAGAAGAGTGCACTCAGAGAGCATGGAAGCTCCACCCCCTTTCCCCATGCCTTTCCCTAAGCATCTCTTCCGTCTGGCTGTTCCTGAGTTATACCCTTTTATAATAAACTGGTAATCTAGTAAGTAAAATGTTTCTCTCAGTTTGTGAGCTGCTCTAAAAGCTAATTGAATCCTAGAAGGGGGTCATGGGACCTCTGATTTATAGCCGATTGATCAGAAGCACAGGCGACAGACAGCCTGCACTTGCAGAAGATGTCTGAAGTTGGGGTGTGTGTGTGCAGCCTTGTAGGACTGAGCCCTTAGCCTATAAACCAAGAAGGGGGTTGTTAGAACCTCTATTTTGTAGCCTGCTTATCACCTGCAGCAGAGGGCTGACCTGTGGGACCGAGCTCTTAACCTATGGGACCTGATGCCATCTCTGGGTAGATAGTATCAGAATTGAGTTGAAAGGTAGGGAGCCCCACTGGGGTCAGAGAAATTGCCAGGTGTCTGGGGTGCTCCTCAATTCTGAATTAATGAACAGAATTTACTGAATGCATATATTTTGTTTTCTGGAGAGCTGGTTGTAAAAAATTTGCCAGCACGTTTTAGGACAGCATGCCTATCGATTTAATTATAATGTTAACTACCAACAGGACATTATTATGAATGAATCTTTCGCATATAAGTGAAAGACTTAAATCCCAAAAGATTAGATATAAGATGATAGTCTTTTTATAAAATTAAAAGTAACTTTAGGGGCACCTGGGTGACTCAGTCAGTTGGGCGTGCGACTTCGGCTCAGGTCATGATCTCACGGTTCATGACTTTGAGACGCGCTACAGGCTCTGTGCTGACAGCTCAGAGCCTGGAGCCTGCTTCGTATTCTGGCTCTCCCTCTCTCTCTGCTTTTCCCTCACTCATGCTCTGTCTCTCTCTCTCTAAAAATAAATAAACATTAAAATTTTTTTTTAATTAAAAGTAATTTTCTTTTCTTTCTTTTTCTTTTAATTTAATTTAATTTAATTTAATTTTTAAAATTTACGTAAATATCCAAGTTAGTTAGCATATAGTGCAACAATGATTTCAGGAGTAGATTCCTTAACGCTGCTTACCCATTTAGCCCAACCCCCACCCACAACCCCTCCAGTAACCCTCTGTTTGTTCTCCATAGTTAAGAGTCTCTTATGTTTTGTCCCCCTTCCTGTTTTTATATTATTTTTGCTTCCCTTCCCTTGTGTTCATCTCTTCTGTGTCTTAAAGTCCTCGTGAGCGAAGTCCTATGATATTTGTCTTTCTCTGACTAATTCTGCTTAGTATAATACCCTTCTGTTCCATCCATGTAGTTGCAAATGGCAAGATTTCATTCTTTTTGATTGCTGAGTAATACTCCATTGTATATATATACCACATCTTCCTTATCCATTCATCCATCGATGGACATTTGGGCTCTTTCCATACTTTGGCTATTGTCTATAGTGCTGCTATAAACATGGGGGTACATGTGCCCCTTCGAAACAGCATACGTGCATACCTTGGATAAATACCTAGTAGTGCAATTGCTGGGTCATAGGGTAGTTCTATTTTTAATTTTTTCAAGAACCTCCATACTGTTTTCTAGAGTGGATGCACCAGTTTACATTCCCATCAACAGTGCAGAAGTGTTCCCCTTTCTCCACATCCTCATCAACATCTGTTGCCTTAGTTGTTAATGTTAGCCATCTGACAGGTGTGAGGAGTTACCTAATTGTGATTGTGGTTTGTATTTCTCTGATGATGAGTGATGTTGAACATGTTTTCATGTGTTGTTTGGCCATCTGGATGTCTTCTTTGGAGAAGCGTCTATTCATGTCTTTTGCCCATTTCTTCACTGGATTATTTGTTTTTTGGGTGTTGAATTTGATAAGCTCTGTATAGATTTTGGATACTAACCCTTTATCTAATATGGTGTTTGCAAATATCTTCTCATATTGTGTCGGTTGCCTTTTAGTTTTGCTGATTGTTTCCTTCACTGTGCAGAAGCTCTTTATTTTGATGAGGTTCCAATAGTTCATTTCTGCTTTTGTTTCCCTTGCTTCTGGAGACATGTTGGGTAAGAAGTTTCTGCGGCCAAGGTCAAAGAGGATTTTGCCTGCTTTCTCCTCAAGGATTTTGATGGCTTCCTGTCTTACATTGAGGTCTTCCATCCATTTTGAGTTTATTTTTGTGTATGGTGTAAGAAAGTGGTCCAGGTTCATTCTTCTGCATGTTGCTGTCCAGTTTTCCCAGCACAATTTGCTGAAGAGACTGTCTTTATTCCATTGAATATCCCTTCTTGGTTTGTCAAAGATAAGTTGGCCATACGTTTGTGGGTCCATTTCTGGGTTCTCTATTCTGTTCCATTGCTCTGAGTGTCTGTTCTTGTGCTAGTACCATACTGTCTTTATGATTATAGCTTTGTAATATAGCTTGAAGTCCAGGATTGTGATGCCTCCTGCTTTGGTTTTCTTTTTCAAGATTCCTTTGGCTATTTGGGGACTTTTCTGGTTCCATACAAATTGTAGGACTGTTTGTTCTAGCACTGTGGAGAATGCTGGTGTTATTTTGATAGGTATTGCATTGAATATGTGGATTACTTTGGGTAGTATTGACATTTTAACAATATTTGTTCTTCCTATCCAGGAGCATGGAATATTTTTCCAATTTTGTGTCTTCTTCAATTTCTTTCACAAGCTTTCTATAGTTTTCAGTGTATAGATTTTTCACCTCTTTGGTTAGATTTATTCCTGGGTATTTTATGGTTTTTGGTGCAATTGTAAATGGGATCACTTCCTTGATTTCTCTTTCTGTTGCTTCATTGTTGGTGTATAGGAATGCAACTGGTTTAGGTGCTTTGATTTTATATCCTGCCACTTTGCTGAATTCATGAATCAGTTCTCGCAGTTTTGTGGTGGAATCTTTTGGGTTTTCCATATAGAGTATCATGTCATCTGTGAAGAGTGAAAGTTTGACCTCCTCCTGGCTGATTTGGATGCCTTTATTTCTTTGTGTTGTCTCATTGCTGAGGCTAAGACTTTCAATACTGTGTTGAATAACAGTGGCGAGAGTGGACATCCCTGTCTTGTTCTTGACCTTAGGGGGAAGCTCTCAGTTTTTCTCCATTGAGAATTATATTAGCGTTGGGTCTTTCATATATGGCTTTTACCATCTCAAGGTATGATCCTTCTGTCCCTACTTTCTTGAGGGTTTTTTATCAATAAAGGATGCTGTATTTTCTTAAATCCTTTCTCTGCATCTCTTGAGAGGATCATGTAGTTCTTGTCCTTTGTTTTGTTGATGTGATGGATCACATTGATTGTTTTGTGGATATTGAACCAGCCCTGCATCCCAGGTATAAATCCCACTTGGTCGTGGTGAATAATTTTTTTAATGTATTGTTGGATCCGGTTGGCTAATATCTTGTTGAGGATTTTTGCATACATGTTCATCAGGGAAATTGGCTATAGTTCTCCTTTTTAGTGGGGTCTCTGTTTTTGGAATCAAGGTAATGCTGCTTCATAGAAAAAGTGGGAGTTTTCCTTCTATTTCTCTTTTTTGGAACAGCTTCAAGAGAATAGGTGTTAACTCTTCCTTAAATGTTTGGTAGAATTCTCCTGGAATGCCATCTGGCCCTGGACTCTTGTTTTTTGGGAGATATTTAAAAAATTTTTTTTAAATGTTTATTTATTTTTGAGAGAGACAGAGACAGAGCTTGGGCAGGGGTTGGGGCAGAGAGAGAGGGAGACAAAGAATCCCAAGCAGGCTCCAGGCTCTAAGCTGTCAGCACAGACGGGGCTCAACACGGAGCTCAAACCCACAAA